ATAAACGGTGTAAAATTTTCATTTTGGTATCTTTCAAAAAGAACATATACCTGTTTAGTTTCATTCTCCAATTCAATGATCTGTGTCTGAAGAGATGTTTCTCTTGCAGCACTTTCGCTAAGAAGCGTCTCTTCTTGTTCTATACCACTTTTCGTAGTTAATTTTGTGGTTGTTTGAAATTTTGCTAAAGCCTAGAAAAACATAAGAAATAATTATTCACATAAAAATAAAATTTTATTCAATCTATGTTATTTTAAAATGAAAAATTATTTTTTAATTATATAATAATAATTCTACAATTAATGCACATTTAATTGCCTTACTAGGGTACACGGTGATTAATATCAAATAATTGTGATTACATTTATAATAAACACACGTCAGAAAAAATCGAAAATTATGAATACAAAGTGATCATCACAAAGATCTTCGATAAGTGACTAAGCGATTCACCTGCACCAAAATACGACAGGTAATTGAACTAACCTCTTGCGTGATTTCTAGCTCGTGTTTCGTGTTTTCGTAGAGGGCCTCGAGATCGTTGCATCTTTGTTGCAAGGCGGACTTCTCTTCGAGTAAAGCGAGACCGTATTGAGCTGATTGTATCTTTTCCGTAGAAGCTAAATCTAATTCCCGTGAAAGCCTTTCGATCTCGATTCTTAGCTCCTCTATCGTGACTCCTTCTGCCGTGGCCATTGCTGTGCACACCGTCCAAGATCAGTTCGCTCCCTTTTCCGTCGAATGTTTCCTTGTCGTTACCGCAAATAATTCGGAGCATCGGCGGTCGTAATGTATTTTGAACGTCAAGGCATCATGCGAATGTTCGTGATGCTATTTTCTCGGCGTGCCCACTTGCCCAAGTCTCACATCTTCCGAAAATTCACGACCGTTTGACAGACATGAGATTAAGGTGAGAGGGCACGGGAAACTCACACAGCCGGATACATACTCCTACACATATTCCATGTTCCTAGATTCTCATTTCGTTATTCCGCCGTTCCTTCTGTTATACCACTTTTTCGTAACACTTTTTTTGTGGAAATTCTAACGTCCTCGAAATTTTAAACGAAGAAATTCTTCTTTAGAACCAATCATTTTTAAGGACTTCAAATAAATATCAAATAAAATTTATTTATATCAAACTTTACCTAACTAGGTAACAATTGAAATAAACTATTTCAATTGCAATTAAAATTTATCTGTTGCATTTTAATCTTTTTTTAAAAGATATATTTCAGATTTTCATCTACAAAAACTTAAAATTTTTGAATAAAAAATTTTTTTTTCTGTTGTAAATTTTAGCAGACTAGAAGAACTTTTCTTATTACTTAAATTTATTATTTAATTGCTTGAAACAAATTTTATAAGCGTATATGCAATTATTTAAAATTTAGCACAAAATAAATAAAATTTTTAAAATGCTAAAATATATAGTCGCAATTGCATAATGCACAAAATAAATTGATATAAAACTGAATTTTTCATTGGTAAATTATCAGTTAAACAAACAAATATTCTATTATAAATTGGACGTTTATCATATTGATAAATTATGGAAAAGAATTTAAATATTGTAATATTTCTACGTATAAATTAACAAAAAATATCAAATACTTAAAAAACATCCTATTTAATAATATGCTCAAAGGATTAACAAACTGAAAAGGAAAATTATAGATTTACATTTTATTAATAAGTGATCTCGTCTTTCAACCGAAACATAAATAGTACATGAATTATGTCCATATATCGTACTACACTTCCTTAATCGTAGATGTAACAGTACCCCTCGGAATAATGGATAAGTGGAATCACTTGATAAGCATTATACGGGGAACAAAAAAGAAAAACAAGATCTCGTCTTTGCCTCTCCGTACACATTCTATTTCAAAAATTCAGTTTAAAAACATAACTTCAAATACTCCGCAATCATTTATTACTTTGTAGCTTATTTTCTTTCTTTTCTTCCTCTTCATCCTCTTCTTCGTCTTCTTCCATTAAGTATTAATAGATTAGTATAAGTCGAGCCGCGATCGGCCGTACACGGATCGAATTAGTTCATACACTGTAACAGTCGTATTCTTTACAATATTCATACGTAAGTCTTGTAGCAGAGACAAAAGCGCAGGTGCCCTATTCGCACTCGTTTTTAATGCTCGTCTAAACCTCAGGTGCCACCAATGAACCCCATCTAAATCGTATATCTTCAAAGTATGGTTTTTCTTTCATCGACATCCTACATGGTAAGACATCGGTCACTTTTCATTTTGTTTTATTTTTCTTACACGATATATATTATATATCCGTGCGCACATACACATTGAAACCGTACAACATATCATGTTACAGAAACATGGAACAAAATTATTTTCTCATGAGAAGATTTACTCTGTCATTTCTTTACAACTCATGTATCCAATGAAAGCACCAAAGGTTACGATCCATTAGCGAAATACAATTTTTTTGATCCTCCAAATCTCGTCAAACGCACTAGTGCATTGATTATTACTACCAAAATCATGTATGAGATCGGTTTAAGTCCCGAACAGTTAAGTGTATAAAATGTTACAGGACACCTCTACTACGCGGTACACAACGCACAAGGCGCTTTTCTTCAGTTCCACCGAGTCAGGCACGCCTGGCTTCTGAACATTAATACACATTGTCGCTGCTGGTAAAAACATCCTCAGTTTTCCCTGTATACAGATAATGCACGTGACCATTCGTAGTTATTATGTACCAAATAATTCCAAAAAGAATATCTTCGAAAAGTGTAGCTACATGAACGAACGCGTGCACAAGATGTATACGGCAAATCTATCTAGACTAAACGTAGATCCGTGAATGATCTTAATTTAAATTGAATTGCTCGTTCAGCAGAACGAATTTTCAATTAAAACATTAGGGATTCAAACGATTTATATATCCCAACACTGCTCACATTTGTAAAAACTGCATCACCATTCTCGAATTCAACTGCAGTCTATTTCGCTTGTCATCAGACATTTTCCACATTATTTTCTTTCATCATCTTTCTTTTTTCATTTTTTTTTTTTTTTTTTTTTTTTTAGAAAAAATCTTGCGTAACTTTATACTTGTAATAACATAATACACCTGCTAGTATCATTTTCGGAAAGAAATATTTCCAAATTCACAACATATTTTTTTTTCTTTTATCACCTCATGATTTTCAGCAAACGTACTTGACAAGAAAAGAGATTACTAGATAAATTGTATCTAAAAATTTCGTTCTACAACTTATAAAAAAGATTAATGTAGTACTTTATACATGAAAATATAATTTGCTTTTTCTTCTGTGATGTATAAATAAGAGAATCATTGGAATTAGTCACCAGCAACGACCACAGTATATCTAGCTTTTTACAGTACAAAATACAGCTCCTGCACATATGTATGTATATATGTATACACATATGTGCATATATATATATACATATACCTAGTAACGAAATATTTCACCATATGTAAGGATATAGTAAGGCAAAGTGCAACTGCATCCTTTGAAAATCCATAACAATCATTGACAATATGAACAATGGTGACTCCTGGTATAACAATTATGATTGTACATACAAAATGTGCAAACTTGTATAGACCTCTGTGTTTATATGTATATATACATGTATACGTTTTTATGATCATTGATGATCATACCGGTAATTGCATTCATTTTCACTTAAAGAATCTGACATAAAAACACGAAGTACACATATCTTTTCCCTAGTTTATGAGAATCTAAGATAATATCCAAGTATAACTGTATATAAACTCGTAAACACTGACAATCTTACAATTGTGCAGCTTTTGTTGTTGTCTGAAACTAGGTCTGTTAGAAAATAATAGTTTAACGATCCTCATTACATCCTTACACATTAAAAATTGGCGTTACTAAACCTTACTTATATGTATTCAGGGCCGGCATGTTCACTTCCTTTCCCATTATTTCTGAACATTTTTTTCTTCTTAACTCGAGTTGCTAGAGTTCGAGAGGGAGGACCGGATACAAGATGCGTGGATGTGAAAAAGGAGCACAAATTTAATTTGTTACAATTTTCTTTTTCACAGTCATTATATTCCTTTTTATCATGTCAAACGATTATCCATTTATCATTTAATAGGCTGATAATCCTTCACCATTTCAATATGAATTACCAACATCAATATCTTAAATCAGCCAAAGTTGACAAAATACGTCGTAAATGTTGCATTTGGAAAATTTCTTTTATGAAATACATAAAGAATCCATACATCTTGCATCATAAAACAATGCGCGTACGAGATAGTTTGAAGGTCAGGGGACAGAGGATTCATGTCTCTACTCTAATTCAATCGAATGTTTATAATATTATTACATCGTATAGTGTGTATTCATGTAATGCTGGATGTGTCCTATGTGTAAATGTACTTTGTGCGCGCGCACGCATGTATAGTGTAATGTAACAGTAATAAAATAAAAAAAAAAAAAAATAAAAAACAAAGACATCATAAGAAAAACCCTTGCGAAGAGAACAACGACATGTAGAAGGGGAGGGAAACTAGGAATAAAATTGGCTCCGGGAGTTGGGCATGGAGAGATGGAAATTCGAACGACTATGACAAAACGCATTTTTAGCAATTATACGTATCAACGAGACATACGTTCGCACATCCCTACCTAGCTACAATCCCCGGTAGTAGCGCGCGCGACGGTAAACGGCTTATCGTTAAGCGAGCGGCACGGATTCCGGTTATCTCCTACTTTCTGTCATCCTGATCACATTCACGGCTTAAATGACCAGGTTTGCCACAAGTATAGCATGCCTTTCCTCCGACTTCAGTGCAGTTACGAGCAAAATGACCTGTTTTGTTACAATTGTAGCAACTTTGCATTCCAAAACGTCCAGAATCATTACCACCCTCAGGGCAGCTACGTGCCATATGACCAGTCTTGTTGCAGTTATAACAGCTCATCTCAGGCCCCTGTTGAAAGCATTCTAGGTTACGATATTATTTTATCATTAATATACTGCATTAAACTATGCAATATATTAATATGTATAAAATAAGCAAAAATACTAAAAATTAATGTAGTAAGATAAATATGTTAAAAAAGAAATAAAAATAATTATAATAACCTGCTGACAGTCTTTTGCGATGTGCCCTACACCTTGGCAACGGTAGCAAAGGTCTTGATCTTCTTTACATTCTCGTGCAAAGTGTCCAAATTGGTTACACTTGTAGCACTTGTCACGACCACGTGCAAAACCACCTTCTCGATCACGACCACGGTCACCTCTACCTCCACCTCCACCACCTTGCGGACACTCCCGTGCATAATGACCCATCCGGTTACATTTATAACACGCACTTGAACTCATTTTTTATAAATCTATAACAAAAATCAATTAAATATTATACATACTTATTAATATAAAGATATATGCATATATATTGATGCACTAAATATATTAATATAAATATATATATATGCATATATATATTGATATACATATACATATTGATAAGGTTTTTGTAGTACATTCACAATAAATTTGATCTTGACTGATATACAAATTACATATATATAAAATAGTCATACATATGAAAAACTTATGTTTAAATTAGAGCATATTACTCAACACATTGCAACGCTAAAATATTATAATAAATAATGAATTAAAATATGATACTAAAATAATTCTGAAATATTTAAAATATAAAAATCATTAAATAATCATCTATGATTTAACAAATATCTATAACATAAAAGTACAATATTTATTAAATAATATACACATATCTTTCAAATATCATTTAGAACGAAATGAAGGCTAGAACACGAAAAACAAGATACATGTAATTGTACGAAGAAAGAATTCGAAAGAAAGTTATTTATAAACCAGATTAAAAACGTTCAAAAATATACACTTTCTATCATAGATCCGAAAATAACATAAAAATTGTAATATTCGAATGGTAAAATAATAGGTAGAATACAATAAGCTATTTTAAATAACAGTATAAAATGGCATCGTGTATCCAATCCATCCATGGTAGGAGTATGTAGAATACACGTGTTTGATAGAAGCGTCGTGCACACGGAAACTACCAAAGATATGAAGAAACTCAGCAATATTTTATCAGAAAAGTAATATTCAAATCATTATGTACAAAACCCTGAAAAATTGCCGTCTATCGTACAACGTGGCTCTCTTGCCCCCACTTTGCAGCGGTGGTACGCAAGTACGCCACGGCGCGAAGATGGCATCCGAGACTGACGCCGTACTGCGCTTTTTTTGCCTCACCAAAGAAAAGATCGTCGAGGGTGAGGTATACATATAAAACCGCACATTAAAACCAACCGCTTCGAATGATTAAAAGGAATTTTCTCTGTAATATGGCCAGACAGAGATAAAATCTTCATTTAGTAGTGGAAGGATGAATCGAACTAACGAAGTCGAGGACCACGTGTGGAATCACAGAGAAAGAACCGCGGACCTGCTACCGCAACATATACTATCGTTCTTTAGCGACAATATAGCGACTTACCTTCGGTGCTTGATAGAAACGCACGATAAATCCTCCTCTCGTTGGACTTTGCCGACACGTCAGGAACAATGGGCCCGCGGGAAGTACTGTTTTCCTGGGAAAACTCGAACCGATACTCAGCCGGATGACTGTGGCGACCATTGACTACGGGAAGGAAGATCAGCCAGCCAATCGTTGCTATGTTGCCCGCCAAACTCCGTTGCAACAATGAACGCCACCTCTTTTACTGAGACTCTCGCAACCAACTTGGACAGCAAAATTTATTTATTTATTATTATTTCTTACCAGAATTATCCTTTTTAATTTTCACACAACGCGTTAATTATTTATTGAAGCATATAGGGTTTCACTCAAAGCATTGATCACCAACAAAATAGAAGAGGGCAATATGACTTTTGGAATATCGGTGGTGATCAACCTCGACATCCATTGGTTCAATATCTTCAAAAAACGTTGATAACTCGTTTCAACCAATCGTGTTATACATCGAAATTTTATCCAATTTGAAAAGAGTTCGTAGAAAATGCGAACCTCTATATCTTATTCAAAAATGATTAAATAAAATCGATTTTCAAAATAGAATTGTAATTTTCATATCATCATTAATATACTAAATAAAAAATAAATGCTCTGTAATAAAAACAGATAATAATTTATATGTATTAAGCAAATAATGTTTTATGTATATATGGCGATCATTATACATCCGTCGCTTATTGGAAAACGTGATTTATAAATTTGTATACGCATGTGTATACACATGACACGCGAAATAGTAAAGAAATATACAAAATTTCAGAAATGTGTTAAAACATTTTCTAATAATGTGAATGTTTCTTTTTTATTTAATGCTTAGAAAGAAATTGATAACATTGGTACTTATTAATTATAAGTGATAAGTACATGTTATTTTATATATTACACATCTAAAAATAAATTTTTGCTCGCAACAAAAATATCAAAAACGATAAAAATAGACTATCTTTTTATTAAATATTATATTTTTATTGATTTACTTATGTAATCCATTCTTAAAATAAAAAGTTATTACCGTTAATGAATGAAAGTAACGTGTAATATAATCATTTCTTTAATAATTTTAGGTATCAAGTTAATATCTGAACAATTGCAATTTATACTTTAATATTGTTTTCACATACCCATTTGTTTTAAGAAAATCAAATTAAAAGTATATCCCCATCTCCCTATCTTAGAATCTAGAATAATTCATTCAGAGTAGTAAATATATTTTAAATTACTAATAACATCTGTGTATTAGACGTA